CCAACCCATGGTGCCCCAGTGAGGAGGCAACCAAGGACTTTTCTCTGTTGTGACTTTTTGCTGGTGTCTTGCTCCCCCACCAGCCGAATCAAAGAGTAAGAGAGCTGGCAGATGCAGTCAGCCATTCAGGTCAGTCTTTCAGGCCACTGAACTGAGGAATAAGGAGAGAACAGATCTGGAGATACAGTCATCAGGATGACAGCCCACAGAGATGTGCAAGTCCTAATCCTGATACCCTGTGGACGTGAGGCAAAAAGGACTTCGTAGATCTTACATATCTTGAGACAGGGAGAGCGTTCTGTATTATCCAGGTAGGCTCAGTATAATCACAAGAGTCCTTGTAAGGAAAAGGCAGGAGGGTCACTGAATAGAGAAGAAGATTTGAAGATGCTTACCTACTAGTTTCGAAGATGGAAGAAGAGACGATAAACCAAAGAGGTGATCTCTACCACCTGGAAAAAGAGTAGGAAGTACATTCTCCCCTAAAGCCTCCAGAAGAAATGTAGATCTGACAACTTTATTTTGTCCCAGTGAGACCCACAAAGTGCACAATAATAAATCTGTGTTGTTTTCAGCCACTATACTAGGTTAGTGGTCATTTATCATAGCAACGAAAAGAAGCTTCCACAGGAGGGGCAAGTGGAGGTTCCCTCTGCTGAGACCTGGATTACTGGTGTGGAAAGAACTCCAGGTTATCACATTTATTCTCATGAGATCAAATTTCATGAGTCCTTGATTTATTTCTCAAGAGGGGAAGATGGCGTAACTGTCCTTCATGATTATAGCTCATATGTTTAATCAGAGACGTTGAATCACTCTGGTGGAGAAGCAGGGATTTCTTATAGAAAGTGAGGCATATAGCACACTGCAGGCTGGTAGGAAATTCTATGCAGGGTGCTTGCCTACGGTATTGAGTCTGAAGTCAGTTTAATTCAGCCATTCCACCAGTGAGGAGGGAAAATGGGTATGAATAGAAGAGCAAGGCTGAACTAGAGCCATGAGGACTATTTGGAACCCAAGGTGGTCTTCCCATCTAACTCTGAGGACATGGATGATCTGCTGAAGAAGCTATGCCCTTTGCCACAGAAATGCACAGCACCTGACCCAGGAATTGGAGGAGACAGAGGAGGTGCTAAAGGTGCCCTGAGCCAGCAAAGTGAGAGAGCAGAAAATTAGCACATGCATGAGCTGTGGCAGTGCACTATACTGACTGCTATGATTTAGATCTAGAATGTCCCCCAAAACCTCAGGTGTTCAGAGGACAGGGCTTTGGGAAGTGATTGGATATGGGGGCCACTGTGCTCATCAATGAATTCGTCCACTAATGAGCTTGGTAGCTGAATGTGCTGTTAGGAGGTGGGGCCTGGGAGACAGGTGGCTGGGGGCATGATGCGAAAGGGTGTATTTCCCTCCCAGCTCCTCCCTTCATTCTCTGCTTTCCGACCATCATGATGTGAGCAGCTTTACTCTCTACCTGCCACACTATTTCCGTCTTGGAGCCAGACCACCATTGACTGAAAGTGTGAGTCAAAATAAGCCTCTCCTCTTTTAAATTGTGGGTGCCAAGTACTGTGTCCCAGTGGTGAGAAGTATCTTGTGACTAAGGCACCAACATTTAGAGCATAAAGTAGGTACAAACCACTTGCATTTTCTGAAGCTCCCACAGATAGCTCTCGTGCCCAAGCCAAACTTAGAACTTTAAAAGAAAGGAAATTCTGGGAATCATGATTCCAGACTATCTAGGTTGATAGGTTTCAAAATTAATGATGTGGAGAATCAACCTTTGTTAAATGCCTACTATGTGCCAGAGACTCCAGCTTCACTGCCTCATTTAACTCAACCACCTTGTCAATTACGTCCATTTCACCCACAAGGAAACTGAAGCTTAGAGAGGTAAAATGCTATACTAAGCCATACAGCTACTCTGGAATGAATTCAGGAGATGTCATCATTATTCATTAGAGAAATATAAGTCAGAGCCATAATGAAATGCTTCTTTTCATCACTAGGATACTGTAGTGGCTGACTGATTGCATCAACTTGAGAAGTTTAGAAGCTCAGCTAAATCTGCTCAGTAATTCTACACCCTAGGATGTAGAAAACCCACCATACCATGGCTTGTCACCTGGATAGTATAAAGGGAAACTAAGGAAAGATGGATCTGCTTCTCTTCTTCAGAGGAGCTCCTTCAGCTTGGATGTCATCTCCTGGCCTCCAGTACAGACTCTTCAGCTTCCATCGTAGACTCTTCAACTTTTTGATGCAGGCTCTTTGACTTCTACCATGGATTCTTCAGCCTTCTGGTATAGACAACTCTTCAGCCTGCGGTCACAGACCCATCGGCCTCCTGATACGGACTTGCATGGGACTCTGTAGTGTGCTCCAGGCCTTGGACTGAAACCTTCGGTCTCCAGTGTGCAGACACCCTCTGCACTCTTCCTCATCCAACTCTGGCTGACCATTGTAAACCAGTCTTGTAATTTCCTGCACATTTGTATATCTTGTGTTATGTCTGTGTCTCTGGTAAACACTGACTCATACAGGTTCTCATAATAGAACAGATGGAAAATAACAGAGGTTGTCAATGATGTGGAGAAATTACAATCTTTATACATTGTTGATGGGAATGTAAAATATTGCAGCTTACTTTGGAAAACAACCCAGCAGTTCCTCAAAATGCAATGCATGGTGTTGCCCTATGATCCAGCAACTCCTATACATAGATGTATACCCAAGAGAAATAAAAGCACAGTTCCATGCAAAAACTTGTACATAAAATTCCATAGCAGCCTTATTCATAATTGGCTTATTCATAATTGCCTTATTTATAATTGACCCAAATTGAAAACAACCCAAATACTCACCAACAGATTACCTGATAAGTAAAAGGTGTTCTATGCATATAATGAAATATTATTCAGCCATAAAAAAGAAATGGTGTACTGGAATATGGTTCATCATGGCTGAACCTTGAAAACACTATGTTAAATGAAAGAAGTCACACAGGTGGTAGCCTATTGTATGATTCCACTGAAATGAAAGGCATAGTATAAGCAAATCCAAAGAGAAAGAGTGAAGATTAGTGGTTATTTAGAGCTGGGGTGGGGCTTAAGGGTAAGTTAGGAGTGACTTCTAATGGATACAAAGTTTCTTCTGAGGTGTTTTTAACACTACACTAACTGATTATAGTGATAGCCGCACACCTCTATGAATGAACTAGAAAGCATAGGTTTGTGGCATATCTCAATAAGCTGTTTTAAAAGTCATGCTTCAGTAAAGGGAAAGCACAGAATCCAGCAAAGGTTTCTGTGATTCCAAAGCCACACTGCCCCCTCAGTAACAGCAAACTCCCAAGGTCACTGGGCAGAAGAACCACCTAGGGAGCTTGTTAACCACACGGACTCCCTTCCTTTCCTGATCCTGGGTGAGGTTCAGGAGTCTGTGTGCTTCATGAGACCCCCAGGTAAGTCAGGTCCGGGTGGTATGAGACACACCTGGAAAAACACAGCCCCATTTTGCATAGGACTCATACCTCTCAGAACCAATGAATGGCATCTTGGAAGCCAATGAGATTAGAGAAAGTAGGTTTTTTTTATTTTAAAAATTTAAAAACTGACCAAACAACAATGAAGACAAAATCAAAACAACACAAAAACAATAAAAATGATACATGACCTCAAAACAAAATGATAGAAATTTACAGTGGTTGCTATATTACATACTGTTATTTTCAATGAAGTTGCTCAGTCCACTAGACATAAGAATGTAAGATTGATCAAAGACAATAATAAGTAAAAAAAACTAAAAAAAATTTAAAACATTAAAAAATTAAAAAATAAAACATTGCAAATGATGCAGAGCTTTACCATACAAGATGGTAGGAGTTCAACAGTGGTTCTTATACTGCATATTGTTTTCAGATCAGTCATTCTGATTACCAAATTCAAGCCTGCAAAATTGATCAAGAAAAAAGAAAATTTTAAGCATTGACTGTTCCTCTCAACAGTCCACAGACATCAGCAATACACCTATTCCAGCTGTCCTATTCCAGCTATCCTTATACATATAAATTTTGTTTTTCATTTAAAAAAAAACAAAATATACAAACAACAAACATACTGAGAGAGAAATAAGGGAAACCATACATTTTACAATAGCATCCAGAAAGCTGAAATACTTAGGAATCAATCTAACAAAAGAAGTAAAAGATCTATAGAGTGAAAATTACACTACTCTGAAAAAAGAGATTGAAGAGGATTTTTAAAAATGGAAAGATAGTCCTTGTTCATGGATAGGAAGAACCAACATTGTGAAATGGCCATACTCCCCAAATTGTTATACAGATTCAATGTAATTCCAATGAAAATACCATTGGTATACCTCACAGAGAAAACATTCCTAAAACATTCCTAAAATTTATCTGGAGCCAAAAGAGACCCAGAATAGCAAAAACAATCCTGGGCAACAAAGGCAAGGCAGGATCACAATCCCTGATTTGAAATTATACTACAAAGCTACTGTGATAAAATCAGCATGGTATTGGGGAAAAAAAAACAGACCTGAAGATCAATGGAACAGACTGGAAGATGCAGGCACAACCACAAAGACACTCAGACACCTTATCTTTGATAAAGGGGCCAAACAAGTTCACTGGAAGAAAGATAGCCTCTTTAATAAATGGTGCCAGAAAAACTGGCTTTCCACATGCCAAAGGCGAAAACTAGACCCAAGTGTATCACCATGCAGCAAAATAAAGTCAAAATGGCTTAAAGATCTAAATATTAAGACAGACACACTACATCTAATGGAAGGGAAAGTAAGTGTCTTGAAGACATAGGGGTAGGTAGAGAGTTCATGAACAAAAACCAAACTGCATGGGAAATACTTCAAAAAATGAACAACTGGGATCTCATCTTATTGAAAAGATTTTGCACATCAAGAGAAAGTAGTTTTTGAAGGTTAATTTTTCTATGGAAAGTAATTTTTCTTTTCTTTTTCAGAGATGAGGTAGAGGGAAAAGAGAAAGAAGTAAGAGAGATGGTAGAAGGCCACAAACTAGGAGGTCTGTTGAAGGGAGCTACGGAGAGGGCTGGGTCAGAGACGCGGCTGGAGGAGGGTGCCCTCAGCAGAAGAGGAATTCAAAAGGTTTGTGGAAATGACTCCAAAGAGGAACGAGAGCAAATACACCCACTCTACCTGAGTGTACCACCTGCTCGGAGCTTCCGAGATGCCTTACTTCATTCTCAAGTGCAACCCTTGAGAAAGAGAATTTCACTTTATATCATCAGTTCTCTGGGGCTCGTTTTTGAAGAATTAATCTGAACAAGATTGGAATGCACCCAGCAGTGGAGGTTAAATTTCAATCTTTTTGTGCTGTTATATCTTTGTTCCCTTTACCTTCCCCTTGAAGTAGAAATGATTGATGCTTAAGTAGCTTTGGCTATTGAGTAATATTTACTCAGACTGTAGGAGAACAAGACAGGGCTTTAAAATAAGGTGGAAATTTTTCCTTTGAATGGCACTAGTTGAACCTTTGAAAGTTAAGTGTATTCCCAATTGTGTAGTATAATAAAGATGGAGGAGACCAGCAGGCAAAAGTTCTCCCACAAATGACCAGCATACACTGGCTAAGTGGAACTTAAATAGGCTCATGAAACCACCTGAGCTGAAGCCCCTGGTTATAAATATTGACTGAGCCCTGAATTGTTTTGAGAGTATTTTATATCATTTAGTGATCTTTTCAACCCAGGAACTGGAGTGCTTGGTAAATAAGCCTTTAAAGCTATGAAGAAAGAGGGAAGTCATGTTCATGTATTCCAAACTCTCTAGATAATGCCGGCCACCTCCTCAGAGCTCAGGGAGGACTGGCAAAGAAAAGTAAGCCACTCCCCCACACCTGTGATGACGATACTTTTCCCTGGAGGGGCCCCGAGGCGCTATTCATTCAGTCTCTTTTGTGTGTGGATTTTTCCCTTATTGATAAGTTTAAGTTGCCTGTGTATAATAGTGGCCACTGGGGCAGAAACCAACCCAAAACACATCCAAAGACTTTCACAGCACAGTTGCATTTGATGTTAAAATCTAAAACTACCCAAGCAAAATCAGAGAAGAGTAATTACTTCCTCCTCTTCATTTTGCTAGGCCACCCTAGAAATTGAATTGCTAACCTTTGAACCTGTGGGCTGAAGATGAAGTGAGGGAATTGTACTCTCCTGGGAAACAAGAGGGAATTAGATTTTCTGCAGTCTTTGGTGATGGGCCATTGGCAAGCCTTTGGGGTGTACTGTTAAGGCTTGTATCCAGGTGTGCGCCCAAAGCCTCCTGCATACCTCATGCAGTCATAGGTGGAGCTTTTCATAGGTAAGGAGCTTTTCAGATATTTTCAAGTGTGTGATGCTGGGATCAAGGATGCAGTGCTAGGATTAAGGGTGTGAGTGCTACTTGTCCTAAGGGTGAGTAGCCTGGATAAAATATAAGGGACAGAAAGAGTGTCGTTGCTTCTCACTGATTGCTCATGGCTTATTGTCATTGCAGATTGTCTTCTGCTCTAGAGTGCCCCTCTGCCATGCCACCCTGCCTTAGACCTCGTCAATTACGGACTGAAACCTCTACAAACCCTGAGCTAAATAAACCTTTTCTACTTTAACTTTGGATGTTGGATATTTTGTCTCAGCAACAAGAAGAGTAACTAAAACAAGCACCACAAGGAAACTACCTTTTTGTCCTCTGGCTGGCATGGGAAGTGGAAGGAAGAGCTGAGAGTTTTCTTGAGCATCCCACCCACCATGCTTTGGTCCTTGGTCTTCCAGGAGAAAGTGGCATCCTTTACTGAGCAGACCATCACCCAATGCCATCTAGTCCCACTAGACTGTGACCAGCTGTGGGTCAGGCCCAGTGTGAACGGGATAGAAGGATGGGGCAGAGTGTCCACCATTTCCAAGTGGGGATCTCTGTGCTGGTGCCCCAGAACAGGGCTAGTATCTTATATATCAAAAATATGTCTACCTCCTAATCCCCACAGCATGTGAATATGACCTTCTGTGGGAAAAAGGATGTGGTAGATGGGATTGTTAAAGACCTTTGGATGAGAGATTATCCTGGTGGGTGCAATGCAATCATAGTGTCCTTAGAAGAGGAGACAGGAGTGCCTAAGTCCGAGACAGAAACAGATGTGGTACAGATGCAGAGATCAGTGTGACTTGAGGAAGGGACCATAAGCCAAGGAATGCAAGCAGTAGACCCCCAGCACCTCCAGAAGAAACATAGCCCTGGGGATGGCTTGACTTTAAGATTTCTGATTTTCAGAACTATGGGGTGACATATTTGTGTTATCTCAAGCCATAATGTTTGTACTGACATATCAGCAGTGGAAAATTAATACACAGAGCAAAATAATGTCCCTGATAGGCAAGTTTTTTGAAAAAGGAAGTGTGTCACTGATAAAGCTGGAAGTGTCAGGATTTCTCAGGAATATCCCTGCAGATGCACCCTCCCTATTCACTCTGTGACCCCTGGGCTGATGAAACTTTCAAAGAGTTGAACGCTAAGAACAACCTCTCCTGTCCTCACTGAAACCTGTACCTCTCCCCAGCACAGGGGAATAATGGGGAAGGACAGAAGTAAAGGTCCATAATCTTTCTTCTGCCTCTGAGCCTTCAGCCTTGGCTGGTGCTTCTCAACATTGATGTCATCACCTTCAAATCACCTGGAGAGTGTTAAACACCTTTGAGTGTCTGGCCTCACCCCTAGGGATTTAGATCTGCTTGGCAAATAGTGTGGCCCAGGTCTCAGCATTTTGTAACACTCCCAAGAGCATCCAATGCGCAGCAAGAGTTGGGAGCAGCCGACCAGGCGGGTGCTGGCACTGTCCTGTGGGGGCCAGTTCTCCTCACTGATGGTTTCGCTGGTGTCTGATCTCTTCCAGCTCCTGCAGTCTGACCATCCAAGCCAGTCTGGCCCACTGAGCTGGCTCCTCCCAGACAGGCAGACTCAACCATAATTTAATTCTCAACTTTTCCTTTTTATTATTTTCAAATGCTCAAGGCCCTGAAGGTGGTGAAAAATTATTGTCATGTTGTGACCTGCAGATCAGCCCAGATGGACAACATTTCTGCACATTCCCTGCAGGTGAATCATGTCAGCAGTAGGCCAGGTCTGCATCTCTCTCTCTCTCTCTCTCTCTCCCTCTCCCTCTCTCCCTCTCTCCCTCTCCCCCTCTCCTCGTCATTCTGTGGATACTGTTCTAAGTGTGAGACTAGCGACTGTGCAGCCTTCTTTCTGGGAAAAAACCCCCAGATAATCAAGGTTTAGGTAGATGCCAACAGGCCTGGGCGCATGACTCCCCTGTGCCAGCTGCCTCCCCTGTGAAACACACACAGCTTGTTGCAGCATGAACCGCAGCTGCCCAGCGGCATGAGCTCACCTGCATTCCTGGGTGGCTTTGTTACGCCTGACACGGTGGTGTGCCTGACAGTGACTGAGCCCTTTCTGGCAGGCCTCCCAGGACTAAGCTGGAGGCTGGCTCAGAACCTGGGGAGAATTCCTGCTTTTGCGTTGGTCCTGTCCTCTGTGACCTGGGAACAGAAGGGTCCACCCTCAGTCTCCCTGCCCCAGGCAGTGGTCCTCAGTCCACACACCTCAGGGCCTCACACGTGACTGAGGAGCTGGAGAGACTTGAGTCAGTGGGTGGGGGGCCCTGCATTTGTAAAGATCCTGCAGGTGATGCTGAGGCTGCTGGATTCTGGACAACTCCTGGAATAACAAGGCCTGGGGTTTTCTAGCAGGCCTGACCTAGGTCCAGAGCCAGCTGGGGCCTTCACCGAGGCATCCCCAGTGTATGGACAGAGATGAAGCTGCAGAAGGCAAACTGGGGTACACTGGGAGTACAGCCCTGTACTGGTACCCTTCACGGCTGTGACTGACAAAGAGCGACGAGTTTGCTAAAAAATTCACCTGTCAGAAGAGGCCTCCCTCCTCCCTTCCCTGCCTTCTACTTTCTACTCTACACCCAGAAACCACAAACATCCACTGCTGACTTTTTTTGTAGGCCCCTGGGCCAGGAGAGGCTGCCCCAGTTTCTCAGGGAAGCACGCAGGGCCAGCTCCTCTGATCACAGCGCAACTCTGAGCTCCTGCCCAGCACCCCAGTCCCTGCCTCCATCCTCCACCCTCCCTCAGGCCAACACCCAGGGATGCCCCTGGCCTTTCAGAGGCCCAGCCCAGTCGTCACGTCCTCCAGGTCCCCCATTCTTAGGTCTCTTCACACTGTACATTCCCCCACTTCAGGGCTTTCCTTGTTGCTCCATAATTATCTCCTACAGTGGTCTGAGTACCTCAAAAATAGCACCTGCCAAGCATGTGGCATTCAGCCAGTGCCTGTTTAAAATATGAATTCAGTGAAGGCCTGGCCATTTTGTCTTCACCCTGGGAACAGATTGGATGCACATTTAACAATATAACAAAAATGCACCAAGCTCAGAGCCAAAGGAAACACATAGGACCCTTCCGGATGGTGAAAAGCCGGTAGAGCATGATCCTTCTGAAATACAAGGGAGAGAGGGAAGTTCCTGCTCATGCTCAAGTGCTCCCCCTTGATCTTCCCTGAAGAAGGAAGTAAGAGCAGTGCTGGCTGCCCTGTGCTTGGGCCACTTGGCATCCTTGCTTGGTTCTGACTGTGCACCTGGCAGGTGAGTGCCAACCTGAGGGTGTGAGCACCAGAGACCCCTTTGGCAAAGAAGTTTATGCCCACTGCTGTGTTCCTTAGGAGGCCTCCGCACTTTGGTGATCACTGGACAGATCCGTGCTTTTCCATCTCTTGATGGGTTTTTTAACACTTTGTGGCCCTTGGTGACTTGCTTTTAGGGAACCCACTCCCTGTTCTGTCAAACAGATTAAAATACATCCTCAGTGATAGGTGAGCACATTTTTATATAATCGAAACAGAGTGATGTTTGAGCTCGAGACAGTCTACTGGGTTTTAGAGACAATTCAAAGTGTGTTCATTGTAGTTTTGGTTTTTCACTCTCTGCCTCTGAGGGGGAGCCTGGCCGTCCTCCTGGAGGGTCTGGGGTCTTGCAGTCATCCTGGACAGACCCTTCTGGCTGCAGAGGAGGTGATGCAGGAATACGGAGGCAGCCTTCTCTTTTGTCCTGTTGTTTCCTGGACAGGTATGCATCACGACCTCTTTTCTACCTTCAAGACTCTTCCTCCAACTTTCCTCCTCTCTGAGAGAGCGGGAAATAAGTTCACTTTACAGGAGAGTCACTTACCTGAAGCCAGAAACTCCCAGATAGCTCTAGCTTTAAGCCACCAGGAAGTCATGAGGACCTCAAAATGAATTTAGGGTTTTGTACTTTTCCTGAAGGTGTAAAGTAAAGTTCTCTCACAACCCCACAACCCCAAAGTTCTTAGGAAGCACCGACTTATGCATCACCTAGGGGCCCAGGGTGGCTCTTACCTGGGATTTGTCCCAGCCCTTCTCTCTCTGGATGTCCTTCCCCTTTGCAAGTACTGTCCCAGCAGTGTGAGGGATGGGTCATTTCAGCCCCAGGTGCCTGAATACCTGGCCCCTGCCCGCCAGATGTCCCTGGAAACACACCTGCAGCCAGCAGCCTCCTGACCTGGGCTGGGCCCAGCAGGTGTAGGCTCCTGCAGCTGCCGCCACTCCGCATTCCTGTGCACCTCCCCTCAGGGCTGGCCCAGACTAGCAGCCGCTCCAGCCAGCTCCTGCCGCACAAGCCGAGGCAGGAGAGCTGCTGGGCTAGGCCTCTCCCTCTCCTTGGCTGGCTCTCATTGCTGCCTGGATGTGAGTGTCAGGAGGGACCGAGAGGAGCATGTTCACAGGCTGAGCGGCTCCTGCTAGGAATTCTTTGGCAGTCGGTTCTCTTGTGCCCGGTGAGCGAGCAAGCATGAGGCTGAGCCACGGAGACTGTGTAGGGAGGGGAGCTAATTAAGCCGTAAGCTGTCCCAGAGGCCCAGCTCATTTGTAATTACGCTCTCTGATCTCAGAATCTCCTCGGGCGCTCTGGGAGAGCTGGGAGAAAAAAGGGGGGCCGGACGATTGAGAAGTTGATCAGGGCTTTTAGAATGGATTTTCATGAAACTGACATTTATACCATTCTTGGAGGATCTGGCTCCCTGAAAAGAACCATAAACCATGCCTAATTCTGCCACGTGATCCCAGGACCTCCAATCAGCTGACCCCGAGGGGGGTGGGGACTGACTGTTCTGCATAGATCAAAAGACTCCGTGTGATTTGGGAAGGTCCTCTTGCTCCTGCCCACTGGAATACCTCCCTGACAAAGTTCGTTAATGCCAGGATGGAGCAGCACTTCAGTCCTCTGTTTGCGTTGACATTGCAAAATTCCAAGCGTGGAGCTTTGCCATAAGAAACATGTCTAGTGGGAAGGAGCATGTTCCAATATGCAGGCCGGGATCTCATTGCTGTGTCTATAACCTGCATTTTTAAAGCCAATAAATCAAAACATGACATTTTTAGACCTGGTTGTTCAAATGGATAACCTGAGGGCCAGGAAGGATTAGTGACCTGGTCAAGGGCCCACTTGCAGATGTGGCACTGTGGGGCCGCCATCCCAGCCCTCTGCCCTCAAATTCAGTAGTG